ATCTGGACTTATTTCAGAATTATCTACAAAACCAGGATTAGTAGCGGAATCATTAAAATTATAATCGGAACGACCTACTTCATTTATTGTCACTTTGTCCAGGTGTTCGTTATGAACTGAGTGATCTTTGATGTCTAATATCTTCACCACTCGATTTCCCATTTTTTGTAGTATGATTCCAACAGAAGGTTTGTAGTCATTCCCTTTGTAATAATGTACATTAGAAGTCGTGGACATCAGATGCTTTTTGAGAATTCGAGATTTGAAAAGTTTTGCAGGACTTTCACGGGTACTTGTATGCTCTGCATTCAATAGACGCAGTCTATGCATATGCAACAATTCCTCCATTTTAATCAGTTGCTCTCTCATCTCATTCAGTTCTTCTCGTGTTTTCGACAGTTCGCATTGTAACTCGGCTACCTCATTTTTGAAAACAGTTGACGCTTGAGTTGCTGATCTTGTAGTGGAGGTTTTCATTGGATGAGATTGAGTATTTTGAGAAGTTGAAAGACACATTGACTCCATTTTACTAGACAGATTGGGAGAATTATAAGAATGTTGAGCAGCATAAGTATTTGAACTTCTGCAAACAGTCTTGATGTGTCCAACTTTGCCACATTTATGGCACTCAGCACCCCGAAAACGGCAAGTGCTTCGTAGGTGTAACTTTCCACAGGAAAAACACGATTTAATGTTTTTGATCTCTCGCTGCATTCTATTACCTGTGGACGGCAGTTTGGATTGCTTTCCATGAACACTTGTATTTTCGACTTCGGACAACATGACATCAGATACTGACGTAGTGGGAGCAGAGTATTCATTATTGACATCTTCATATGTAATACATAAATCTTTAGCAGTTTGAAAGGTACAAGAAGGAATCTGAATTAACTCTTTCGCTAACTTAGGAATATTGATTCCAGCCAGCAATTAGACGATCACGTAGTTGAGTATGCAGCTGATCTTCAAAGTTACACTTTGAAGCTTGTATATGGAGTTGAAGAATAAAGTCTCTAATCTTCTGGTTTTGAGAACGTACCAGTTTGTTGAACTGAGCCCTCTCTCTGGTCTTAAATGTGGTTACATGAAAGTGATTTATAAGAAGTTCACGGAGTTTATAATATGTCAGAGAAATTGGTTTATCTGGAAATGACAGAGTCTTCACTAGGCTATACGCATCTAGCCCAATAGCAGTGATGAAATGTGCTGGAATTTTGTCATCCCGAACATTCTTGGATATGCGCCACGCATCGAAGCATTCAAAGTAATCAGCAATCTCCCGTGGAGAACCCTTTAGAGTAAATTTTCCCAGGTTATTTAGTTCCATCGCGACGCCAATTTGTAGTAATTTATTGTAACCGTAGTATTAGTATTTCGAGATGACCGAATTACACGAATGCAACCAAAAGACAGAGGGTGTAATCCCCTTCGTTATGCAATGATCTGAAACAGAGAGCAAAGCGCACGTTAGCAGCGTGATCACACAAGTGTTGCGTGCTAGTAAGAACGAAGACTCAAGGTCAAGTATTATATTTACAACCAATCGCAATACAATTAGATAAGAGGGAAGGGGCACTCCTATTGGTCATCCGTTGCCTCGTCTTGGGTAACCAATCCCTGCATACTTCGCAGCCAACCTGAAAGTAGACAAGCATAGTTTGAACATTAGAAAACCGCCAAACTTACCATGCCTTACACTACCCCCTCTCCCATAGGAGCACTGTCCGCAGTGCTAGGTGACTGTTCCTGCGGGACTTGTCTGAACTAAGGCCTGTTGTCGAAAAGGTTTTAGTCTATTGAAGTGTGTGACTAGACTATGAGAGGAATTCGGTTCCTGAATCCTACAGGTGCAGTCACTTAGTACCTCTACTACAGTGAATGGTCCTTCCCAGCGTTTATGGAATTTAAGAGCTTTCCCTTTAGGTGGTGCCTCCTTAAGTAGCATCACCTTGTCTCCTGGCTCCACTGGTGATCCATGTGCTTTCCTATCATAGTATTCTTTCTGGTACCTCTGGTTTGTTTGGAGTATATCCCTAGTCATCTGATGTACCTTGTTCAGTTTCGTCGAAGTCTGATTACGTGTTCGGATGCAATCAGTGTATCCTCTCCTAGTGTGTTTGAAGTCAGATCGATTGGCAACCGGAGTTCTCTTCCAGTGACCATATAATGAGGCGTTTGACGCGTAGCTTTGTGAATGCTTGCTCTGTATGCCATTAAGCACTGTGAGAGTGATCGGTCCCATTCCCTGGGGTTGTTTTGATCTACAAATGCCTGCAAGAGGGATTTAAGTGTCCGATTGGTGCGTTCAACCAAGCCATTTCCCTGTGGGTGGTACGCGGTAGTGCGTGTCTTCCGGATACCCATTATACGACAGAGTTCGCTGACAACGATACTTTCAAAGTTGGATCCTCGATCTGAATGCAGTTGAAGTGGTGCCCCCCAACGGCTGACCCAGTGGTCAAAAATTGACTCTGCGATGGTTACAGCATCAATCTGTGGTATCGCAATAGCCTCGCACCATTTGGTAAAATGGTCTACCATGACTAAAATATAGTTATTATTTCTGGAAGTTACTGGGAGAGGTCCAACCAAGTCTATTTGTACTAAGTCATTCGGATGGCCAGTTATAATGGGTTCTAAGGGTGCCTTATTATATTTGTGCGGAGCCTTAATAGTTTGGCATACCTCGCAGGAGTCACAGAAATCTATGATGTCTTTCCTCTGGTGAGGCCACCAATAACGTCTTTTAGCCGCTTCAATCATTTTCCCTGAGCCCGCGTGGCCTAACTGCTGGTGTAATGACAATAGTACTGTGGGTAGTGCCGACTGTGGAGCCACAACGCGACGAGTATAAGTGGGTCCATGTTGGTAGTAGAGGATGTCATCGACAATTTTCAGATTATCCCACAGAGACCATAAACACCGGGTTTCCCATCCAAGCTTACTTATTTCCTGGGTTGTCGGTCGTTCGCCTCCATTTCGAACACGTTCGTAAATCAAGGCCAGTTCAGGGTCTGAAGACTGAAGTTCAGGCCAACTATATGAAGTATGAGCCTCTAGTTGGAGCAGCGAAACTTGTGCTTCGGTGCATGATGGGCAGTCACCGTGATACCTAAGAGGTTTTCTTGACAATGCATCTGCATTTCCATGATTCTTACCCGGTCTATGCATGCATTCGAAGTCATACTCTTGTAGGTGTTCTTGCCATCTGGCAATCTGACCCTCAGCTTCTTTGAAGTTATGTAGCCAGCTAAGGGCTTTGTGATCAGTGCGTACAATGAAATGTCTACCGAGGAGATATGCCCTAAAGTGTTTAACAAAATTGACCAGTGCCAGCATTTCTTTCCGCGTGGTGCAGTAATTCTTCTCACTCTTGTTGAGTGCTCGACTTGCATAGGCTATCACCTTTTCTACTCCATCTGCGTCTTTTTGAGACAAAACTGCCCCGATACCAGAGTCGCTAGCATCTGTATCTAGGATGAATGGACCTGCCTGGTCAGAAACATTGGGATACGCTAGGATAGGGGGGCTACATAAACAGTTTTTAAGTCTTTCGAAGGCTTCCGTAGCTGATGCTGTCCAATTGTAGTCTTTCTTCTTAAGAATGTCGAATAGAGGAGCTGCAAGGAAAGAGAAGTTAAGTACAAAACGTCGATAATACGAGGCTAACCCTAAAAAACTATGTAACTCGGGGGCTGAGTTTGGGAGCGGCCAGTCTTTAACTTCCTGAACTTTTGCTGGATCACATTTAATGCCTTCGGCTGAAACAATGTGACCTAAGAAACACACTTCTTTCCTGAAGAATTGACATTTCGATGGGTTCAGTTTTAACCCAACGGTCTGCATCCGTTCTAATACTTCGGAAATATCACTTAAATGTTCGGTCAACGTCTTACTATGTATGATAACATCATCTAGATATACCAAACACTTACCTGGTATGCAATCACTCAAGACCGTTTGCATGAGGCGTTGGAATGTTGCTGGGGCATTGACTAACCCAAACGGCATTGTTTCAAACTCATACAGGCCTGCTTGTACAATGAATGCTGTCTTTTGCCTGTCATCTGGGTGTACTTCAACCTGCCAATATCCCGATGCCAGATCTAGAGTGGTAAACCAATTCGACCCTTCTAAGGCATCAAAAGTGTCGTCTATGCGTGGAAGGGGAAAGCAGTCTCGTCTAGTTAACAGGTTCAACTTACGATAATCTACACATAACCGGAGTGTCCCATTCGATTTCTTAACTAAAACTACCGGTGAAGCCCATGGAGATACGGATGGTTTGATGACATTTTTCTCTAACAGTTCATCAACTAACCTGTTAAGCTCCTTCTGGTAATGTGCAGGTACTCGCCGTGCAGGTTGTCTACAAGGTGGGGCGTTACCCGTTTCTATGTGATGTTGGACCAGTTTTGTTCTTCCCGGGCTTTTTCCATCCCAGTCAAAACAGTCCTCATATTTGTCTAACATTTTATTAAAGTTGGCAGCCGTTTCCGATGGTAGGGGTTCTATAGTCGTCAGCATTCGCTGTTTCTCATTCTTAGCATCTCCCTGCACGCCAAAAGTGCCGTGCTCTTTGTCGTTCCCTACAATAAATGGGATGGAACAGTCCTTCAGTATAAGAGTCCTCTGACTACAATCTATTATTCCGGACAGCTTTTCCAGGAGGTCGACTCCCAAGATTACCTGCCACGGCACCCGGGTAGAGATGATGAAATTGTGTTGAAGTGACAGTGTTCCCAATTTAAGTGGCAGCAGGACCAGTCCCTGGGATTGCATGCAATCTCCATTGGCTGTCGTAAGCCGCAAATTGTGAGTCCCTATTGTTCGCCTAAACGTCTCTGGAACACATGAGGAATGTATGACAGAACAAGTTGCTCCTGAGTCAACTAACATAACACACTTTTTTCCACCTATATAACCTACAACTTTCGGGGAGGAGGTGACACCGATTAGGTTTACAGTAGGCACACAATTCATATCGACATGTGACTCACCTGCATTGTGACCACAACTCCTAGCAAGCTTACCAAACCGCCTGCAGTAGTAGCAATCGTTTCTTGAAGTGGATTGCGACTGTGGGCGTCCTTTCCACGGTGGTGTAGGATTCTGTGCATGCTTTGTTGTTGTGTGCTGATATCCCATTGCGTTTACTTGTGGGCATGTGGTTCCTGGCTCTTCCAGGCTTTCCACTAGGCGTGCCCTAGCTTCCGCTTCTGCCATGGATGCTGGAGTGTGCAAGTTGAAGTCCTTCCTGTAACGGACGTCGACACCCTGCAAGAACTTGGAATATATAGCGTTTTCAACCTCTGAATGTGTCTTGTCCTGCATAGCTTGACGCGCAAGCTTGCGGAGACGTAAGGTGAACTGGTTGATAGATTCACCTTGTCTCTGGTTACACTCGCTGAATCTTTTCAGCGCTTCAATGGGAGGTATTGGTGGCACTATACGTGCTCTTAGAGTACTCAACAGGGTGGTCAAGGGCATATGCACGTAATCCAAACCAATTGTGTACATTTCCAAGGACCGTCCAACAGAATCGATGACGAATGCGTTCGGGTGAGGCACGTTCATCAGATCAATGTATCGGCACACCTTGTCCGACCACAGCTCGAAATCATCACCCACCTCCAGTGTATGCGGCAAGGGATGGACATATCGCGAAGCAGGCTGATTTGACTGAAAAGCTGGAGCCCTCACTTCAGCTAATTGATCCACCTCGTTGGATGCTGTCTCTTTGACAGGCGAAGTGTTCTTGGAAGCCTCATTGGGTCGAGACTTGGAAGAAGAAAGTTTTTTCGTTGGCAGGCTCGCCATTTATGTAATCCCACTCGTCAAGCAATGATCTGAAACAGAGAGCAAAGCGCACGTTAGCAGCGTGATCACACAAGTGTTGCGTGCTAGTAAGAACGAAGACTCAAGGTCAAGTATTATATTTACAACCAATCGCAATACAATTAGATAAGAGGGAAGGGCACTCCTATTGGTCATCCGTTGCCTCGTCTTGGGTAACCAATCCCTGCATACTTCGCAGCCAACCTGAAAGTAGACAAGCATAGTTTGAACATTAGAAAACCGCCAAACTTACCATGCCTTACAAGAGGGCAGAACTCAGGAATTTGTATTTAGCGGAATTATTATGCAATTCATATAAGAAATATTAACAATCAACAGTAAGTATTGAAACAATACAGAGATAGAAATTGTCAATCACCACATGATATCACTTATAAGTCTGGATAGTATAAATGAAAGGTTCGGTAGTGTTGAATGTTTGCATGAAGGGTATGAATTATGACGAATAAGTATAACAATTTTAACAATAAGCGAAGAAGGAAATAACCAAGAAATTTAAGGATGAGAAGCACTCTTGGTGATTAGAGGAATCATCAGTCCAATTTTGGCCACGGTAGGAACAGGGTCTGGATGTGTTCTTTTTGGATACAAAGTTCCAGTTTAGTCGATCTTATTGCAACACCTTCAGCTATGTGTAGGGTACGTAGGTGAACTGTACTTGATAACGACTTCGGAATTCGGTATGAATGCAAATGAACGTTGTCAGCCAAGGGAGTCTTCTTTATTAATGCATTTATTAATGATACTTGCACTTACCTATTTCATTACAATTTAATGATTCACCTCAGCACTTTTACTCTTCTAAAACAGCTTTCAATCCCTTGTAAACGTTGTACTTACCTCAATATTGGTTGGTTATCGTATGCCGACAACCACGGGATGAAAACGAAACGAAGTCGATTTTCCCGCTCAACCTGGAGGACAATTGTACAATTCAATAACTATACAGCCTAGTTCAGACAATGTGTATTTATATATATATCAAATATTTAACTGTTGAAACATTATTAACTTGTAGACAATCTACGATTTGATATTATATCATACTTGATCGTGCCTGTAAAAATGGCATGCATTTTCATGTGAATTTATATGTTTATATGAGAATATACATTAAAAGCATTAAAAAAAGCATAAAAGCATATAACCCTGAAAGCTGTGTCGACATGGATACGATGTTCAGTATCGACCGAGTGTGACAGAATCGAGCTTTTTACGCCCTTAATTTCCTTTGCTTATAATTATAATTATTATTATTCGTCATAATTTATACCCTTCATGCAAACATTCTCTCAATACTATCGAACCTTTCATTTATACTATCCGGACTTATTATTAGTGGTATTACCTCTTTTCTCAATATATTCCTTCACCTGTTTCATTTCACACATTCGTTATACTTTCTTTCCTTGGATTCCAAGAGGAACATAAGGCTTTGGTCGAACATCGTCAATGTCGCCCATCCTTAGCTGTCTTGTCAGCTGGTTCTGTGATCAACAAAAAAACCCCACCTCCTCTTCACAGGATTTTTATAGTGTCACATACCACTGCTTAACTCGTGGATTCCCATTCCGACTCCACTCTATGGATTCACATGTGACGTTGATTGAAGGTCTGCTCCGTGTCTATTCAACGCACTTCCACCTCCTCTATCATTCTTGCTATGTGATGGTTCTTGATACCAGAATTCCTTTTTGCTTATCTTTCTCCGTAAGATATCTTACCCCCAACCAGAAAAGACGGCTGTTAATATGAGTCCCCAGCCCGTTGAAAATGATTTTCGTGAAGCGTCAAACGTTCGAACTAAACAGGAGCGCTGACTAAACATTCGAATATTTTCCTTATGTTGAGTGCAGTAGACTCCCACATTGGTTTCAGAATAATGAAAGTCTGTCTCGCTTCTTATACCCTAGCTGTCTTCGCTATTCTCATCCATAGGACCAGTAGTTGAAAAGATGCTGTTTCGATAAGAGGAGGTGATTTTCTTAAGATTTCTCTAATTGGCGGTAACTGATAATTGTTGTTGCGAAGTATTTTCACCACGTATATCTTACATGAAGTCCTGTATTTTCCGCCTCCTCTGACAACTTGTTGCGCTTCGCTTGTAATCCTTCGTGTTCACACAGCACGAAACAAATCTTCGCGAAATCCAGGTCTTCTCGGTTGCTTTTTCTCAGTCCAACATATGTCTGCCTATTTCCTCTCCACAGCCTGTCGTAAGATCCAGTCGACCATGGTTATAGAGCTCATCAGTGGCGCTGTCTTACACCTTTCTTTATTTCATTATGAATCACCTATTATATGACAGTGTACCTGTTGAATAAGGTCAGTAAAATTTTACGCCACATAGTAGTTCTGAAGTGGCTGTCTAATTATTGCGCAGACGACGTAATCGAAGGACTTTTTTGGGTTGATAGAAATGAGGTGAAGGGTTGGCTGCTAATTTGTTCCCAGTTCGATGAGGATGTGCAGCGTCGCAATCTAATTTACTCATCGCTTGCTTTTCCTGAATGCAGCATGTTCCTGGTGGACTTTTATATACAGGTCACGTTTTAGTCTCCAGGATGTTTGGCTTAAATTTTCCCTATAGTGAATAGGCGCATGATTCTACTATAGGTTTTGCAATGCCTCAAGTCCCTCTTTTTCGGGAGTCTGACGGGGTAGCTCATCCAACCAGTATGTAACCATCTTCTGAATTGTTCTGTTGTATGTTTCAATAATGTTCCCTTAGCTGAAACTAATGCCAGAAATTTTGATCTGATGACACTGACTTCCTGAACTTCTTTTCCAAATATAGCTGTACGGGATAGACTGCCTTTATATGCTTTAGGTGAGACAGATTTCACGAACAGATAACAGATTCCAGGATGCATAAAAAAGTGTTCCATCTGAAATTGCACTTGTGAAACATGCCTGCGAAAACTGTATGTAAATTATGTCAATGCTTAATTTACGTGAATAAAAATGCTGAGAATTCCATTCTGTATCACAAATACTGTTTTGGAATAAGGCAAATTATTGTTCTTATTATCACTATTATTATTAAGTTTCTTTTATTTAAAAAGGGAAAAACCAGTTTAGTTTTAAAGCTTTATCTAGTATACAGAGCCTTACGTTCTGTAATACTTAAGTTTATCTGAAGAGGAATATGACATTCTTCATGCAGGGATTCACGGCTTAAGAAGTTCTAATAACTGCTCGACTCTACAGCCAATCGGTGGTAGATGCAGCAGCATAATGAATCCACTATGTCATTCAGTACTCACACTTATAAATATCGAATATCTCCGAATGGGTGAATTCCTGGAAACCGGTCAGTTAGGCTGCTTGAACGACTTCGAGCTAGCTTCCAGTTGATTTCGACCCTAAATAACTCTTGCAACTGATGTTTGGCCATCTATCCAATTAGACATGAGTCCCAGCAACGCTAACCGCTGACTCTTTAATAATAATATATTCTCATTTTGTACATGAGGGACGCCAGTTTACAGGCATCATCAATATGATAAATTACATATACGATTAGCAATCATATTTAATAAGAATGTTTTAACAAAATACATATTTTTCCTGCCTATGTCTGCCTGTCTGTCTGTTTTCGACATAGAACTTTGCACAAATGTGCGGAAGTTCAAGTCGCCACACTCCGTGTAGCACGCGAAGCAAGAGAAGAAAGTATAAGAAAAGCATGCCTATGTAGGACACACCAAATGTACAGGCACGGATAAGCATGGTTTAAATTTCATAAATTTGGTTTATGGTCAAATTACATAGTTGCTGACGTTTTTGTCTTTGGTTTTTGGAAACAATATGATAACCAGTCATTTAATGGAGCACATCATGAAATATAGGAATATTGACTTCGCATTAATCCACCTATCCTGGCGGCTAGGTTGTTCATAACACCGCCCCAACTAGCAAAGGTAGAAATTGACACTAACGACAACTGAAACGTGTATTTATTATTAATGATACTGTAGTGGTAAAGAATTTCCCAAAGTTATTCGAACGCAGTACTCATCACTGAATATTAGATGCTGACCCTCACTGTCAATCACGTCTCATAAACCGTTAATGCCCAGCTCTCGCTACGCTCGGGCCCACGCTGTTCCTTGAAGTTTTCAGAAACGCTTAGTTATAACGGACGAAAAAACCAAAACACCGATCTGCCGCTTGAGATTTCTTTATTGTTACACCAACATATAAAAAGAATAAGCGAACTAAGGTCTGTGAACAAATATTACAATAATAAATCATAAGATTACTTCTGACGATGTTTTACTCTTCTTTCTGAACAGCGACCGATGAGACGATGACTGTCGTATTGACGCCTCCGCGACAATTGGGGAAGTTGATTTTGAGCAAACAACCAAGAATTGATCGTTCAATCTTCAACTCCATTGACACTCCCCGGCAAAAAAGGGATCCAACCCTTTTTTCCTTCACGACCGATACACGTTGACTTGGATGCTATTGCGAGAACCTGGGTCACACGGACATAGCTGAAATGGAAAACAAACAGAAAAGCCAACACACCACAAGCATACTCACAGCACAATCTCACACATCGCTGACGACCTGCGCCTTCCAGTTAAAGACATCCTCTTGCAACACAATCGCCACTTGCTAGAATGACTCTTGCAGAATGCAAAGTGACCATGGCAGCACCTCACGATACTCTACGCACATCCTCTTATCTACTCATTACCAATTACCACTGAAATCGCTTGTCACTCATTCTGCCTCAGTTCTAGTAGCGGTGACGCATGCGAGCCTCAGTCGTTTACACTCTTTCTCCCCGGCGTGTGGGATCGCAGCTAACAATTATCTCCGTGTGCATTTCATTCTCAGCAATAGCCTAGCCTCCCCGGCGTATACGACCCATCTGCTGTCCTTAACATCAATCAATTCATTCATGGATGTAGAAGACTCGAAACAACTTCAGAAATAATCACGACGAAAATTTTAACAAAATTACGCAATAACAACAAGACACGAAAACAACAAGTAAACACAATGAAACCATAAAACACCAATTGATATGACACACCACACGTATATACAAATGGTACAAACAACCTCGCCGATCATGTCTTGATGGAATTCCTTTGTAGAATTGCAGGACTTACACCAGTACGCCTACAACCCTTCTCAGGTTGACGATTGTAATTTGTGGAATGTACGGACACAAACAAGATTAACCAACAATTACATCAATTGGAACTCACACAATTATTCAACACAAACATATGTACAATCACTACATCAAATGTTGTGGATTCTGCCTTGACGAACTACCCTTGAAGAACTGTAGGACTTACAGCAGTACGCCTACATTCCTTCCTAGGTTGATGATCCAAGTGGAAGTCGTCCGGACACAAACAGAATTACCAACAGCTAGATGACAGATGATATCAATTCATTATATGCAATATGAACATATGTACAAAATCACACACCAAGCACATTGGACTGCTCATTGATGCGCTACCCTTTGAAGAATTGTAGGACTTACAGCAGTACGCCTACAACCCTTCTCAGGTTGACGCTCTAGGTTGGAAAATCGTTGCAGAGTTCATTTGCTGACCTCCTCCTATCAGCTATATCTTCAAATCTGAACGGCAACTCGCTCATGTCATTGTATCGTAGAATATAGATGACGAATAAACATACGATGTATCTGGTCAACCAAGCGTAGAAACAGAGTAATTTACACCAAAGATAATAACATTCAAATAGTAACTTGAAACTAGAAATGCCTTTATTCGTGCAAGTCAATTTAACAATTACTCTCTCCTTTACACTTGGCTTATCCTCACTAAACTGACCATTGATATTCGTCCTTTCAAACGAACTGATACTAGCATAGTCATTGCACAAGATACCTGAGTTGATGGGCGTCTTTT